AGCAGGAGCGTGGGAAGTTCAAGAAGATGAGGCTGGCACCTCCCTAAGGAATTCACGGTGTGGTGGCTGGCTGGCTTGGGAACCTGGGTTCAGTCTGGAGAGATTTTCTGTCTGGAGGTTGTAGCTAATAAACGCAATGGAACTGTATTTGCATTGTCTCTCGGAGTTCTTTGGGCTGAACCTGACAGCTGCTGCGGCAAAGGAGCCTCTCCCCCTTTAAATAAACTCACCGGGATTGGGGTGGTAAACCTCGTCCTTTGCTCAGCCTCCTCTCTGACCCGTAACCCACCCAGCCATCCCGGGAATGGCGATCGGGGCCTCCGTGCCGCTCATCAGGATAGTGCTGAAAGAGAAGGCCAAAATCAGGTAGGAAGCTTCTCGCTGCAAAATGTTCGCATCTAAGAAACAAAGGACAGTTATATTAAGGTTTCAGGGGCCAGCTCTGTCTTCTGGGCACCCTCGGGCCATCCAAGCAGCTGAATGTGGAAGCCAGCTCCAGCAAAAAACTCTGGGGCTGCGCAGGTTGGGAATAAATTATGACCCTGCCACCCCTTACATCTGTAACAAATCCACTTTGAGTTTAATCGCTGCAGAAAGCAAGTGTCTGTATTAAACAAAACCTTATTTTGGATGAGGAAGTATCTAATTTCACGGTCCAATTTTTAATGGCTAATTTGCATTCCCATGTCAGTGGTGTGCAAGTGTGTGAAAAAGACCACTCAGGAGAGCAGCATCTAAGGAAAAAAAATCTGGATTGCCCAAATGGCAAGCTATGAGTGACTGTGCGGTCCCTGCTACCCCTTCCTCCCCTCGATGGGCGTGGGGGGTCACACCACAAACATGGTTCAGGCGACATCCTGTAGTCCGCCTTCAACCTCAGACATGCCCCCTTAGAATCTCAAATCCTAAATTCTAAAATGTGGGCAATTTTCCAGCAAGAGAAAGGAATTTTTAACAACAAGAACACCACAGATCAAGCCAAGCGTACCTGTCCATCTCGGTCCGGCACTATTCTTGAACTTTCTCTCCTAGGAGGGGAAAAAGAAATGATCCGCAACGCATATATTTATCGGAAACTAAAATAATTCTGAATTTAAGATGATTCTACCCCCCACCCTCCACAGAGAAAGCATAAACAGATATCTTTATAAACACAGATAAAAATCCTGCAGAATGCCTTAATTTTCTATCTTGTCAATGAAAGATCACAACACCGATTGAAACAATCCTAGTGATTTCCCCCTCCCCAATAAAAGGGCCTATGTCAAATTTTTGTCTGCAAGTATGTAAATCTGTATATATACTGCCAAAAACCACATCCCAAAAAGGGGCAGTGCCAAGACCAAAAGAATGAATTGATTAAATTATTGATTAAAATTGATTTCTTACAAAATAAGGTATCCCACTTATAAAATTAATTGTTCCGCCATCAACATATACCAAGCATTCTCTCTCACACAGAGAATTACAAGCACACGTCCAGATGCACCTGCACAATTTCTCATCCCTTCATCTCATGCTAACAGCAAAGATGGGGGGGGGGGGGGGGGGAAACCAGGATGGAAATGGGCAGACACACTGAGAAAAGAAGGCAAGGGGAAGAGAAAAGAGGGAACAAAATAGAATGGGCATGGGTTGGGGGGAAGAGGCACACCGGGCAGGAAAGGAAAAAAAAGAAAGAGAGAAAGTATCCCTGGTTAAGCCTTATAAAAAGGCTTAAATTTCATCAAAAGAGTAACTTCTTTCTAAGCAAGAATCCAGGTTCATCATTAAAGACATCCCTATTTTTCGACTCAGTCTTGATCTCTGGCAACTGCCTAGACAGTTTTCTTGGAAGGATTTTTAGGAGTGGTTTTCTCTTGCCTCCCCCTTCCCAGGGCTGAGAGAGAGGGGCTAGCCTAAGGCAGGACCAGAACTCACATCCTCCTGGTTTCTAGTCCGGTGCCTTTAACCACTACACCCACGTTTTGCAAACTTGGCAACTTTAAGATGTGAGGACTTCAGCTCCCAGAATTCCCTAGCCAGCACGCTAAACAGCTGCATGTTAAAAATGTCTACAGTCTCAGCAATAAACAAGCTGAATGAAATAACTTGCAGCCCGTAGCCCACATATTGCCCTCCAAATAATTTTTTCTGGCCTGCAGCAATACTTGGTAGGCACCGAACCTGAAAAATGATTGCATATCAGCCCTGTAATAAAACCAAATTTTAGGGTTCAGGTTAATGCAAAATGCTGACATCTAAGAAGCCAATGTGAAATGACTTTCACGAGAAAGAGGATGATCGTGATAAGATGATGGCTTAATAAATGTATGTTCACCTTGGTGCTCTTCAATGTCTTCATTTTTTTTTTAATCACAAGGATTTAGTACCCATGCATGAAAGGGCTTCAGGGTTCTGCCCTCAGGCTAATGAACTTGTCCCAAGTTTAATTTGTGTCTGAGACACCTGAGCTAGAAGGAACTGCATGGCTACCTGTCCATTAGAGGGTCTTGGTATCGGCCACGATCTCTGTGATCAAAGCTGTGGAAGCGATCTTGCCGGCTAAAGTCCGAGTGGTATCGGTCATCTGTGGCCATCCGCTTCGGTTCCGGCCAGTAGGCATCATCACGCCTGCAAAGAGCCCAGATTCAATAGGTTTTCAGCACTCTGGTTCCAGACAGACCTGCATTACTGTTTCAGCAGTGGACAGGTGCTTCTTTATTGCCCTCAGGTTTTTAAAGTTAATTCAGGTCTTTCCTTTTCTTTCTGTTTCATTTAATGGCCATTTTTGTCTTATGGTGATTTCTTTCTCTGTGGTTTAAATGATTTAATTGCAAGTTCTATAAGCCTGGAAGATGGGACGCTGTTTTTAAGGACACCACCTAGAGATATCTAATTGCCTTCTGCTAAAAAGAAGGTTGCGAATCGCTAGGGCATGCATTATACACTCTCATGGCTTTGTACTATTAACACCTTTCCCCCAAAGAATCCTTGGAACGGAAATTTGGCCAGAATGCTAAAAATGCTCCTTGACTGGGAAAGGATGGGGAAAAAAGACTGCCCACTGTTAGATACAAAAACAAGCCAGAATTCCAGATGTTCCCTGATTTACCTGAACAAACTGCACAGAGTTCATTCACTCCACTTAGCTTTTCCCAGTGGCGGAAATGGCTAATTGCACTCTCCTGTCAAGTCATAATTCTAATTATTCTGGGCTCAGAAGCCACAGGCATGGTAAGCCAAGAGGGCTGGTTTGTATGGCCCAGCAAGCTTTTTAATCCATGTTAAATTCGCTCAGCTGCCCCAGTTCTCAAAATGCCCAGTGATTGTCACATTCCAAGAGGCAGCACGTCTAAGGGCACTTAGGCTGGGCAAGGCGGGCTGAACTCTTCTTGTGGGTGATCAAAGCCAAGAGAGAACAGAAGCCACAGGATCACAGAGTTGGAAGGTAACTTAGAGGTCACCTAGTCTGATGCCCTGTTCACTGACCAGCCATCTTCTTTTTGAAGACTTCCAACAAAGGAGAAGTCGCCCTTTCATGTGGCAGTCTGTACCACTGGCAGATAGCTCAAACTCAGGAAGCCTGTATACAGCACCGTCCAATTTGCTCGCACTAAGCTGCCTCCCCTTTTAATTCCAGAACACTACTGCTGGAAATACACCAATCATCACCCTGTAGTTCAAGCTGTTCCACTTGCTTTTGCACCCCTCGTGCTTAGAATTTCACTGAAACACAGCTAAAGAGTATATAATCCTTTTTCATTCTTCTCCCCAGTCAAAAGCTGCCCTTCGCCGCCAAGATCACAAATCCTCTAGGGCAGTGTTTCTCGACCTTGGCCGCTTTAAGATGTGTGGACTTCAACTCCCAGAACTTCCCTCTCTCCCCTCCTAAAATGCCGCATGCTGTGCGACACCCGTACACATCTTATCCACTTAGCCAAATCTAATCACCACGTCACTTGACGACTTGCAGAAAAAAACGCCCAAAATTGGACTGGCTTGGGCAAAAGCCGGCCATCCTGAGGGAACAGGAAAAGGAACCCTCCCACAGCTTGGGGTTTGATCTGTAATGGTTGGTTTGGTTTTGCTCTAAATTTAAGCCTTGTTCTGACAAAAGAAAAGAAGAAAAGAAAATTCACCTCATAGCAGGAATAGATCACCCGTGAGCAAAAAGCTGTTTTATTCTCCAGTACTGTAGGGAGAGCGTTCTCAGAGCGCTCTATTACATCCTTCCTATTTCGCCCACAAAACCCACATTCCTTTGTTGAGAACCATTTAATAGACCCCTGAGAATTCCTCCAATATCCAGATATACCCTGTACCCCAAATCAGGCCAAACAATATTCTCTCTTCAAATACTGTCCTGTTTGGTTAAGAGAAATGGGTCTATGTTACTTACAGGCTAGAGAAATATAGACTCTATGTATACTTATACTTACAGACTAATTGCTCCCTAGAGAAGGAAGGAACATACTGACTGGGCTCATATGCTACACTTAAATGGAATTATATGGCTAATTATTTGTCATACGGGAACCAGCCACTGAGGCTTACAACTATGATTCTTGGCTTAGCAAGATGTGCCAATCCAGTCAACTGCAATTTAACAACCACGTGATTCATAATCCTGGCTTAGTGCTGTGAGCACATGGGCAGTAGTCCAGCGGGGACGTAATGCTAGGGCCAGCAGATGCAGGATCTGACCAGAAAGAGCAGGGAACAAAATGTCAGCAAGGACATTGTGAAGAGAGGGACGGAAGGCTCTCAAAACAGACAGGTCGCCATGGAGGCTCTGAGTTTGGCTTAAATGTAAAGAACAGCTGGGCGCCACGTTGGCACTCCTGCCTTAAAAGCCGACTCTCTCACCGGCCATCGTTGTAGGGCCTCCGCAAGGCTGAACGGCGCTCCTGCTCATAGCGCAGCTGCTCCTGTTGCCGCCGCAACTCCTCCCGCTCCCGATGGATGCGCTCCTGCTCCTTCCGCCGCTCCTGCTCAATGCGCATCCGCTCCCGCTCCAGCCGTTCCCGCTCCATCCGCTCCCGCTCCAGCCGTTGCCTCTGGAAGTGCAGCCGCTCCCGCTCCCGCTGCAGCCTCTGCCTTTCATCCCACTCGTGGGCTGCCTGGGTGTGCTGGTCCCGCTCCCTCCGCTCCCGTTCCCTGGGTTCACACACATAAAGGAGAGGCGGTTTCCATGGGGAAGATCGCAAGGCTGAATCTTGGCAATAGACTCGAAGTATCAGCCTTCCCTAAGTTGTTGCCCTTCAGATATCTGGACTGGGGATGATGGGAACTGGTCCATCCTCTCTGGAGGATACCACCTTGGAGTACGCCCTCCTCTGCAGTTGGCTAGTAGTGGAATACCCACATTTTCTCAGGTTAAGATCCACAGTTGGCCTTGAGTGACATGCTGGGGACGGTACTCCAAAAAGAGTAGGCAGGGCCAAGACAAAAAAAATTGAAATAGACATGATTGAAAGACATGATTTGAAATAGTTGAATTAATTAAACAAATTTTGTTACTCCAGTCACTTTTTGTTACTGAAAACAAGGAACATGGGACGAGAATAGGGTCTGCTAAGATCTGGATTGAGTTGACCAGTTCGAGAGGGGAGCCTGAACAAAATTCATGCTTTAAGGCAGGTCCAAAGAAGAACCGGGTGTACTGAAGAACAGAGCCTGTCGAAATTCAACAGGCCAGAATCTCTTGCTTTAAAGAAATATGAGCCGAACCCCAGATTGTTTTTAAGAATCCAAATTCTAGCAATGGCTAGAATGTGAGGTGCTGATGAACAATTTGGAAGGACAACAACTCACAGAGGCCTTCTGCATCATGAGATGTTGCTCTGAGTCTGGAGCCAGGCAAGGCCATGGGAGTGAAGACAAGTAAAGACACAAAGCACTATTTTTTTCCAATTAAAAGTATGAAATTGACATTTGTTTATAGAGCCTGCATCTGATCATGGAGAAATTCAAGACTTACTAAAAAGCAATTAGCTAGATATAATGTTAAGAAGCATTTATGTTGCGGTTGTTTAGATTTAATTTTGTTTAATGGTATGGACAGTACTACTTTTTCACATAGCTCTGTTGTAATTTAGTACTTTATTACAAAGGAAAAAGTTTCCTTTTAACAGGAAATAAGGAGAAAAGAAATGTGAATCTAAATTGTATCTAGCTTCAGTAACTTTTAAAGCATTAATTTTAATTAGCTCTGCTTGTATAAAAAATTATATCGACTGACAGTAACCTTACATTTACTTTTACTGGTCTATCCTGCTGTATTATAGAATTATTTTTATTTCTATTTTGTACTCTTAAGGCAAACGCTTCAGACACACCATTTAAAAGAAGTGCAGTCCAACCTAGGGAAAACAGGTTTGCTCTGTTTTAATTCTTTTCTTGCCACAATCTCAACTCAGTGGTCACTCTCCGTCTGCTCCAACTTATCAGGATTAAGGACATTTTCATACTTAAATATTAATATTTGATGTGATCCTTCCCCCATGCGGTTAATAATTTTCCTCAGTGGCAACTATTGGAAAGGATCTGGGGAAATGGGGGCAATTATGCACCTTAGCATCTATCCCAGTGCATACCCGTGCTGAAAAAAAATTAAGATTGCCCAAATAATGCGCATCTTGCTGCTATAATTGTGCAAACTGAACTAATCTCTTATTTTCACAGCTCCTCCCAGCCCTCTGGCAGCAGGGCAAGGAGCAGGAGAGAGCGAGATTGTAATGCGATGGGCTTGGGAAGGCACCAAGTTGAAGACTGATGCACAAAACTGCAGCCATAAATGACCAAAGACAGTTCTACACCCTCCCTCAGGCCAACTGTGGCCACCTCTGGGACTTCAGACCAGACGCTGCTGATTTACATCTCCCAGCAGCTCCAGCTAGGATGACCAAAGGCGAGAGATGCTGGGAACTGCTTGGCAGCGTTTGCAGGACTGTAACTCCCTGCCTGTCCCCCACCCCTTGCTGGAAGGGTGATCCAGGAGAGCCTCTGGATCCTGTTCAAAGCTGATTGGAATTTATTTCATGATCTTCAATAACAGACCAGCCTTCCTGAAGTATTAGCAGACTCGCTTTTAACTGACCTTCCCCAGCAGCACAAAGTCAGTGTAAGACCTACAGTATTGGTCTGTGATCAACGAGCAAGCCTTTCCAGCTTTCAACCCGTGAAGAACAGCAAAACTGTAGCTCCGGGGGATAGTTGAACTGATTTGTACCCCTCTCTCTGGCTCTGTATTCTTCACTTGCCCAATTGATGCCTTCGTTGCTCACTTTCCTGCAACTCCATTTGTTAGTTTGGGAGTTTTCAGCTAAAATCCCTGAATGGCAGTAACTCAAGACGTGCTGGTACGTCGACATCCTTCCAGTGCAGCTCTCGAAATGCAGCAGGGTAATTCATTCTCCACCCGCCCACAACTGCCATTTCACAACTGGCTCCATGCCCGCTCTCTCAATTAGCCTTTTTCCTTGAGTCAAGTCAATGGAAGTTATAGTAAAATAAATTAGGCAAACTCCATATGCTGGTACTTGTGTCAGGGCCAAACAAGGCCCACCAAGCACATGGAACTTGCCAGCCTGATGGGGAAAACTCACCAGGGGAGTGTGGAAATGATTGTGGCAGATACAGACGGGAATGTGCAGGTAATGAAGGGGGGATGGGGGAAAGAGAGGGAGAGGTTTCTCCAATATAATAATTACTTGTCACAGAAAAAGATGCTCTGACAACATTTAATCAGGAGAAAGAGCTCCACCAGCCAGCTGATGCACAATCCATTAAGTGGAAAAATGCACCGTGCTCCTACATAATAAAGAGCCCTTTAAAATATCTACTTGGAACAATGAGGCAGCAATGGAGAAACGTGCAGGAGATTTCACTCAGAAACTGAATAATCCTCCATTAAGCCCAAACAGATAGCAGAGTTGCGGAGGAAAGTGACAGCTGCATAATAGATAATGTCAACAGAGCACAAAGTCATTCCAGGATAATAATCTTTGGCTGTTGGCCAAATGCAGGAGTGTTTCAAAGAAAGGGAGAACAGCTCAGCTCAGCTCTGGAGCATCCGAATGGATGCGGGGGAAAAACAAGAGGGTTTTTAAAAACCAGTCCAGTCCTATACAACCAACACAAGGGGGCTCTTTCATCAACGACTTACTCTCCCCATGGATTTGAATCAAGCCATGAACGGCTACCTCAGCATACTGTCTGTAAAGGGCTCTGGGAGCAAGTCCTCAAAGCCTGCCTTCGAAAGAAATGGAGGGGATCACTGACAGCTAAACTGACCAACCGCCAGGCAGATGAGTGGTTTCAAACAGGTTGGTTGTTCTCATCCTGGCTCAGAACACTGAAAATTATGTCAAGCCTGCTGGGGGCTTCACACACCTATTTTTTACCCTTTCCCAAACTGTGCTGGGACAATTTTTAGTGTGGTTTGGGAGCCACATTTTAGTTTTAAGAGAACTGCACACATGTGAACATCTCTCTCTCTGGCTGGACCTGACCACAGAACTTGACAGCTTCTGGGAAACTGCTTTCAGGATGGTCACCCACATGGTTCCACATCTCTCGAATGGAATCAAGTAGCCTTTTGTGTTTGTGTGTCTGTATGTGTGCGCCTTTGAGTCAATCTTGATTCTTGGCAATTGTATAGAAGTCCATGCAGTTTTCTTAGGCAACAGTTTCAGAAGTGGCTTGCCCTGGCCTCCTTCCTAGGGCTGAGAGAGAGAGAGAGACTGGCCCAAGGTCACCCAGCTGGCTTCGCGCCTAAGGTGGGACTAGAACTCCCCGAGTCTCGGTTTCTAGCCTGGTGCTTTTAACCGCTACTCCAAACTGGCTCTCATCAATAGCCATTAGGGCTATATATAAGTATCACATCAATTACTTGAGAACAGGGAAGTACCACTGGACTTGGATCCTATTTGTGGGTGTCGGCACAAGGCGCTGGATCAGATGGGATTTTGGCATGATCCAGCACAACTATTCTGGTATTTTAATAAAAAGCATATACTGTACGTGTTCTCGCAACTGGGCATTTATAACTTCCCCAGTTCTAATGTTGAAAGGAACAATTCATAATTTGCCATGACGGTAACTCCACATCCCCAAACTCTCTTCAAAGTGACCGAGACATACGCCCATTGGTATAGGCCTTTACCTCAGGGTCTACAAGCAGAGGCGTCCATAGGATGCAATGCTTTCGTAAGGACAAAATTAGCACTGCGACACAAGCTCTGCCCATTTTGTACACGTATGCAACATCACAATGGATATAAATGGGGATGGAACTTGCATCGCAACGTGTTTGTCATTTGCCTCCCCCAAACACACATGCATACACAAATACACCCCCACCATGGTTGCCTCTGCCTAGTTCTTCACTGCAGACTTCCCCAAGCAGGCACCCTCCCATTATCCTGGACCACGGCTCCCCAAATCGTAATCCCCATCTACCTCAAAGACACCCAGTTGGGAATAACTGCCTTGGCCTTCAAAACAGTCAACTCTCTGAACAATAACAATAGCCTGACAGCACCTCTTTCTGAGTGTTCACATACATGTTTACTCTGAACAGGAACCCACAGGTAGGAGACAGCACAGGCAAGAAGAAAGGGGGCAGACTCAGAAAAAGAAATAAAAATAAAGACAGAAAAAAGTAGCTGTCCTAAAGAAAGAGAAAATGAGAGGCCAGATCAGGTAATAAAGAACGATAAGAGTTGGAGTCCAAGACGTCCAAAAGGATTGGAGGGGAAAAAAAGACTATTTTAATCTATGGACCATCCAAGAGAAAAGAGGAGCGATTACTACTAATTAAACAGATAAGGAAAATAAAAAAGATAATGCAATTCTGTAGAGGAGTGCTTCCCAACCTCGGCAGCCTTTATAAGGGTGGGGGTTCTCTCCCCCCAAATACCCCCCCCACACCACCGTGTGTGGGTGGTTTGGTGGGTTGGGGTGCACACCCTTAAAA